ATTTATAAACCATTCTTATAATAAGAAAACATAGGCAACTACATTGGTTCAGTTTCTAAGAATTTTGAAAGCAGTAACCTTCAAATACCAAACAGAAGCTGTTTTGCATACTGTGGTGGAAATCTTCTGGAAATATGAATAATATAACAATCTCCTAGTTTGTACTAGAAACAGAATATATTTACATTCTTGATAACAGAGTTATTGTCATTATTATAGTTGGAGTTTTAAAACATAGGTTTCCTATGTCTGAAAAAGACTCTGGTATATCATGTCCATTCCTATTAATGTTCTTCCTTATATATCTTCTAGGATAAGAGCACCATCTTGTGCTCAGTGTAAATAGCTGTTGCAAAGCACGAGATGTTGCATTATAATGAATTCAAGAGCTATACAATTTGTTTGTATATTACGATACAAGGTGTTCTTACGCATAGCATTCACAGCCATAAAAATAAAATATTATCATTAAAAATAATGCAGAATGAAAATGTTTGGTATTTTTAATATTGTATATATGATTTTATAAAAACTATTATTTTATATAAAATTCTTCACTCCCTCCTAGTGATTGTTTGGATGCATTGACAAGAGCCTGCTCAAAACTATCCCAGCTTTGTCATTCTCTCCTCTCACCTCCAATATCTCAAGCCTTTAAAGCTTTCATGGCCTCTTACTGGGCTCACTGCAGACATCTGTGTCCCTTGTGTGCTGAGGGGCCCAGAACCTGTACAACACTGCAGATGTGGACTCTCCAGTGCTAAATACAGGGGAAGCATCATGCATCTCAGCCTGCTGACAATTCTGCTTTTAATGCAGCCCAGGACAGTGGTGGCCCTCTTGGCCACAAGGGCACATTGCTGGCTCGAGGTGATTTTTAAAGTGACCTTATTGCATACCAGATCATTTTCTGCAAGCTTGCTTTTTAGTCAGTCAGTCCTCAGCACATATCAGTGTATGAAATTCCTCCCAAGGCACAGGACTTTGCATTTCCTTTTGTTGATCTGCTTGAAGGTCCTGTTTGCCCAGCAGCCCTTGAGGCCTGAAGCAGCAGGACTTTTCATGGATAGTCAAGAGTGGCTTCACAATGATGTGATTCACCTAAGGGGGCCATCGCATTAGGATCCAGGAGTTCATCTCTGTCCAGTTGATTAAATATTCCCTAACCTCAGTCCCTTCTACTTAGAGAAGTCATATTTCTGCTGGGATCATGGGTCCCTACTGCCACCACTCATATACATCCTTTCTATATTTCAGCGTAGTCAGGAGCTCATTGTCCATCCATGCAGGATAACTGATACCCTATCTTGATTTTTGGCCAGTCCAGATAGACAACTGCTGAGCTTGGAGGAGGTGATCTTACAGAATCAACCAACTCTCCTTGAACTTGTATCTTTCCAGGACCACCTCCCATGGTATTTGTCCACCCAGACCCCTCAACAGTGAACTTTTGCTTTTCTGAGGCCCAGAATTATGATTGTGCATTTTGGTTTATTCCTTCTCTGCAGCATCCCAAACTCCATCATCTCATGCTCCTGACATTCACCTTCCCAACTGATTCATGTTTGCAAAAGTATGAGGAACAGTAGAACTACCTTCACCAACTCTGTGATTACCTGTGTCAGGAAGTTATCAACACACTCTGGAAACTTCCTGGCTTTCTTGTACCCTGCTGTGTTGCCCTCCACAGATATCATGTGGATCAAATCCCCAGGAGGACCAGGGCCTGTGATTGTGAGGTTACTTCCAACTTCCTGAAGAAGATTTCATTGTCTGCTTGTTCCTCATCAAGTAGTCTAGATACAAAGTACAATATTGGTACCTTTCCACTGGGCTTTCCACTAATCATGACCAAAAAGTCACTTGGCTCCTCACCTGGGTGAGCTCTCTGCATTCCTGCTCTTCTCTCATATGAAGGGCATTTCTATAGTGATGGGGAAGACCATGGAGTGATAGAGTACAGCTTCTGGTGTGTGGAGAGGCTTGTGCTGCTTTATCTAGCTGAAGTTAATGATAGCAGCACTTTCCTTTTGTGAAAGCATCCACAAGCTTGCTGTCACATATTGCTTGATTCCACTGTCATCTTGGTTCTGTAACAGCTATAGGACTGCATCAGGACCAGATCCATCTTGCTGTGAAAGAATCTGGTTTGCCATCAGTTCATTTATCTTTTTTATATTACTAGAATGTCCTTGATGTAGCATCCCAAGATGCTGTGCTCCTTTGCTGTGCCTTTTTTTGGGAAAGAAAGCAAATTCCTCCGATGTACAACAGGACTGATAAGTTTTCAACTTCCCTTAATGTTTTCATTCATTCAAAAAAATACCTTAATTAGAGTAGGGGAAACATATCGACTTCTTGACCAGTTTAATCACTCCACGTTCATGGGACCACAGAGACAACTTGGAAATTTTAATTTTACAAACATAAACAAGAGGGGGTTTGTCATTAGTTTTCTGAATCTTATATTTGGGTTTATCTCATGCTAAGTTTGCTGTACTGGTTCTGAAATTGCTTTGCTTCACTATTCATCTTGTTTTGACACTTATTCACATACCATTTTTTTCCCTCCACCATTCAATAGCACAATTTAAGAAAACTTAAATTTTCATTCTTTTTTCCTCCTTTCTCTTGCTTTTGGTTTCCAGATGTCCCTGTCACCTTTCTGCATAATTATTCCTTCTTCTTAAACCTGAAAAAA